GGGGGGGGGGGAAATATTTCAATGCCTCAAAATTCAGCACCAGGAATACTTTCACCCTTTCAGTTTCAAAACTGAACAACTTTTTTTTTTGCTCCCATTTTCTCATGAGCATTTGCGATATTTTGTTTGGATAATTCTTCTTCCAAGTCATTTGCCTCCTGCTGCCGCCTGAAAAAACAGAGCAGAACGGAGCAGGGCATAAAAAGATCCCGTCGGTACTACAGAGCCGATACCACACGGTACAAATGAACTCGCTGCTCCGTCCTAGGTTTTCCTCAAACAGCAGGCTCAACAGTGGTTACAGGGTTCCACTTCACGCGCCTAAGCAGGACGCTCTACAGGTACACGGCCGACAACCGGAGAACGGAACTCAGCAGGGCGCAGTGAGGGTTAACAAGAAACAGGTTAGCTCATTTGTGATGTCCTCAGCCACCCCTTGGAAAGCCTTCCCTGCCGTTGCCCGCACAGGTCGTTTCAGTTCCCACAGAAAAGTAGGGAACCTCTCAGGCACGTTCATCTTCAGTCCCCATTAAGCTTATCTGCCAGTAAAATTAGGGATACCGTACAGGAATTAGGGCAAGCTACTGACTTACCCAGGAAGGTCAATTTAGGTCAAAGCTATCTTGCACAGATGGCTAATTTCAATCACTTACGCATACAACACAATTGTTCAATAAGCTCAAAATAAATAGTGTAAGTAATTAACTTAAAGCTGCCCTAATTGTTTCTCAATTTTCCCTATTAATTTAACTTATAACACTTCTCCTATCAAAGCTTCAAAGGTTTAACTCAACAGCCAATTAAACCTTCTTTTATTAAAAAAAAAAAAGTGCTGTCAGCTCCGATTCCTTCTGACTGAACTCTTTGAAGCACTCGGGATTTCATTTAAATTGCACAGGGCTTAGAAACAAACTATTTTTCCAGGTATAATGTTCTCAGCGAGCTAATGATTCAATGGACAATTAAGACTAATTAAGGTTTTAACTTGGTAGCAACTTTCTAAGCAGTACTTGGCTCGACAAAAGCAAGCCACCGCTCGAGCGAACAGTGCATCTCCTCATTTGTCAGCGGGAGCCGGCAGGAACGCGTCTCCCCCTGCTCAGTTTCACCGCGGCAGCGAGAGGCCCCTTGGGACAGTCGGAGTTCGCCCACCTGCATTAACCTGGCAGCTGTATTCTTCTTCCTTTAAACGCATGCGTCTGCACAAACATATATTATCTCCCTCGTTCTCCAAGGGAGCATTGCAAAGAGAAAAGTCAGCGGCACACTTGTTAGGAAAAAAGATCGCCACCGTGTAGATACCATTCTTGTCAGCTTGGTCCCACTAGTCTAAGAGATTTAAGCTTCCAAGTGCACTAGGTTGACCAGAACAGGACAGTTTGCCGTTTTTAGCACAGCTGATACAGGTCAGCTGGAAACGGAACCCTTTTTCCACCACCGAACAGAAACATCAACAGCCTATGAAATATTTCCCTTTTGAGCAAGCTACCAGATAACACCTTTGTGGCCTCCTAAGATTTCGTTTCCCAGAAGCTCTGGTATCTGAATTCTCAGACCCGCTGTGACCCTGTTACGTGCGAGACTCCCCAGGCCACCTCTTGAGTATGGGCCAGCTTAGCTCTTCTCAGTGCTGCACCACTCCGCAAGGCGTTTTGTCACGCCGTGCTTCGCGGCGTACCTAACGCGACTCTGCAGAAGGAACATCCTGTGCTCCATCCTAAACGCAGCCAGCAGTACGATCCGGGTCTCTCCCCTCCTGTCAAAAGAACTATGTCTATGGATCTTCTTTTGGAATGCATTTTGTCTGTGTATCTTTCCTAAATTATTCTTATTAATTTCATTACTAGCAAGCTTGGGTGAAGGGAAAAAACAGAAACAGAGAAGCCATATAGAAAGGAAGGCAGAAACTAAGTAAAATAGCGTGCTGGTTCTGGCTGGGCTAGGGTTAATTTCCTTCACAGTAGCATGGGGGATGTTTTGGATTTGCGCTGGAAACAGTGTTGCCAGCAGAGGGATGTTTGTGTTGTTGCTGAGCAGTGCTTACACACAGCGGGGGCCTTGCTGCCGCACCGCAGGACCAGCACAGAAAGCTGGGGACGGAGGAGGAAGGGGGGGACCTTCAGAGTGACGGCGTTTGTCTTCCCAGCTCCCCGTGACGCCTGACGGAGCCCGGCTCCCCTGGGGATGGCTGAGCGCCCGCCTGCCCACGGGAAGGAGCGAACGAATTCCTTGCTTTGCTTTGCTTGCGTGGGCGGCTTTTGCTTTTCCCTCTTAAACTGCCTTTATCCCAACTCACGAGCGCTCTCCCTTTTACCCTTCTGATTCTCTCCCCCATCCCGCTGGGGGGGAGCGAGCGAGCGAGCGGCCGCCGGAGGCTTAGCTGCCGGCTGGGGTTAAACCACAACAGATAGGAACGAAGCATTCAGAGACATGCTTCAGATACATCCCGGAAAGGTGGGAACACGAGCAAGTTTCTACAAGCTGAACCGGCTGAATTATTACTATGAACAAGATGCCACTGGATAACTCTCCAAAGTCCTGCAGTACCTGCAGGAGAAAAGCGAACGCAGCACGCAGAACAGCTGAGAAGGAGGGAGAAGGCATGACGCGCTGTCAGGAGGTCTGCAGAGGCAGGAGGAATACAGTTTTCAGAGCACTGACGTTAAGAAATCTCAGTGAATGATTAATTAGTAGAAATATTCAAGAGCTGCTGTTGACCAAAAGCAACTGAATTTGGGTAACCAAATGGTGTTAACACAGAAATTTGGGGGTGATGCAGCACAGCTGGTTAGATTGCAGATGTCTAGGATTTGAACACCTGGTCTTTACCATCATTCTTGATTTCCAACACCCATCACCCTGCATCTTTTACTTGACAATACAAATCTCTCTATCACGGGTAAATCTTTCATACTTGTCACACCATCTCGGAGAAAAGCTCGCACATTTTGTTTAATGAGACAGAAGACCTTCGAAGAATTCTGCATGGCACACGACTGGAGGGGCAGGTGAAGGAGGATTACCGTTCGGCACACTTGTTTTCAACTTTGCAAACAAGAGCCAGATAATCCCTAGAGAACAACTTCTTTCTCCCATTTTTTTTTTTTTTTTGTTTAGAA